AACTGCAACTCTATCCTTGCGAAACCTTGTCAGCACTCCAACAAGTGAATTTGTCGAGTCAGGTCCCTTGTATAACATACTGTTGAGTGATAACCCCATGAACTTTGCTGAACAATCAAAAACTACTCAAATCTTTCCAGGCTCGTGGGGATGGTTCACCCCATGGTGAGGTATATACCACGTGTCACCCTCCTCAGGACTCATCTGAACTGTGGGAACTTTATGTGCATAACCTTTAGCAACCAATTCCCTCATGGAGACCTTCTAGTTATCACACAGCCTGTGATCTTTTTCCAACCTTTTCTTCAACCAACTAATCCGTGCCAAGGCTTGTGGCTTGTTGTTGGGAACCAAGACCACGTCATTCTTGAAAGGCAAAGGGATTTTGTAATTCCTGTCTTTTAGCTGTATTTCTCAGCGTTCTGCATAAAGCAGCGTTCATCTTGCATCATCTCCGTCATATCATCAGCGAAGGAGTCGGGAAAATTGTGATTGTAAAAGTTTTCTACCATGTGCTGAAGCTGGGGGTCAACTTTGACAAACGAGCTTACAGCCTAAGACTCATGGTGACAATGTCCTAAAGGACTGTTCACTGCCCAACCAATGCACGTTCTTGATGCATAGGGTCACCATTTTCATTGTGCCTTATCTTGACTGAATCGAGTGCCTCCAGAACATCACTGCCAATCAGGAGTATGACCTCGGCATCAATGTGAGGTATGGAAACACCATCTAGATGGGGCCACTGATTCACACACTCCTGGGTTGGAATGTCTTCCTCACAAACCAGAATCTCAGGTCTCGTAAAAAGGGCAGAAAGTCTGACAAAACTGTTCTCATGGAGATTGGATACCACTAGGTCCTGCATGAGGTAACTTTCAACCGGACTGTTCTTTTTCTCCAGGGTGGACAGGGAAATCTTCACTTTTGTTCTTTCAACCCCAAGTCTCATTAACGATTCCATACAGTACTACTGATGACTTGAATTATGGCCTGAGTGTAATGCCATAACGCCACTTTAAAGCAGATACTAATAACGTCTACAAAAAGAGAAACTGAAAATGTAAACTAGAGAAAGCCGTGCCAGGGGAGCCAGAAAAAACCTACCCTAAAAAACCCTATGGCAAAAACAGATAGGAAATCTGGGGCATGCCAGGCACAACTTAGTCCCCCGCTGAGACTTATAATTAAATAATTTATCATAAGCAAACAAAATCCGAAACTAAAGAGCAATAAATCAAGCAACTTTTAAGCGATCATTAACAGTGTGGTTAATGTATCTCTCCTTTGAAATGGTACATTCCCAGCTGGTATGCATGTCCAGCAGATCCGCAGAAATACTCCTACACGCAGGATTTGAAGCAGCGCCAGACTTGACACTATGTGTGCCGTAACTGGCGATGTCATCAACAAATGGCTTAAAGTATTTCCTAAATTCCTCTCTACGTGTCATGTATGAAATGTCTTTAGTAGCATGAAAATACTCCTTAGACTTAGATTTAACGATTCACCTAACGAGGGGGGAGGATGACTCAGTAGATGAAGGAAGAAGCTTGAGTAACCTCTCAGTAATAGAAACTGGGCAAGTAGCCTTATGAGACCTTGCAAGTAGGGATGTATGCCCCTCCTTATACTGACCATCTTACATTTTGGAATGAAAACTGAGATGTATTTTCTGCAAATAGAGACATCTTTAACAGAGAAACTACCAATTTCACCCATACAGTAAAACCCAGCGAAGCCAACCAAGAAAATGAAAAGAAAATGAATAACAGTGAGATAACTACTAGATACATAATGATCAGCGATCCTACAAACTGTGTCGACAGATAAAAAGGCTCTTTGGGCTGAACAGGACGTGCAAGTTTCCTTCTAGCGCCCTCTAAGGATGACTTAACAAGGGGGTGACTAGT